CTTGGCCTTACATTCTGGAGGCACCGCTGGGATCCCTGAGTGTGCTTCACTATAGTCAGCTCCTCGGAGCATTTGGTAAGGCCCTCGGTCTTACATTTTGGAGGCCCCAGCGAGATGCCCGGGTAAAGAACCCCGGTTCAGCCGAGACTCTGTGGCGGGATCCAGCAGGAGACTCAGGCACAGACCTCAGAAAACCTCCAGAGGTAAGTTTTGGCTGGTTGCAACCGTTTGTTGTCAGGAGTGAGGTGGCTGACGGGCCGGTAAGTCTCCCCTGACCCCAAGGTTCCTGACGAGGAACAAGGGAAGGTTTAGTTTTGCTTTTGTTGTGGCGCCTATTTGTCTTGACATTTGTACGTTAGTGTCCTGTCCGTCGTGTGTTTAATTTTATATTTCTTTCTAAACCATCAGGACAGAGATGGGAGGATCCTGCTCCAGAAATACCCCATTGGATTGTTTTCTCACTAATTTTAAATTGGCTTTTTCCCCAGAACAGGAGAACGAATATAGGGTTAAATTTTCTTGCCGAAAACTTCGCTCCCTGTGTCAATTGGAATGGCCAGCCTTCGGAGTTGGATGGCCAGCTGAGGGCTCTTTTGACCCAGGTCTCTGCAGGGCGGTATGGAAAAAAGTCACCGGGCACCCTAGCCATGCTGATCAGTTTCCATATATAAATATCTGGGTTCGGGCTTGTCAAGAGCCTCCGGCATGGTTGCAGCGTTGCTCCCTGTGAACAAACTCTCGCATTCTGGTTATGGCCCCAAGGGAACCCAAAAGGCCAAAACCCGGGCTCCCAAGCCGGTGCTCTCACAAGATCCTGACCCCTTAGATCTTGTTATAGGACCTCCCCCTCCCACAAGTGAACAGGGGCCCCTTATGGTCCCAGCGGAGCTCTCACTGAAGAGACTAGTTCAGTTCCTCTTCTGCCTCTTAGGGAAGTAGAACAGGGTCATTATGTCTATATCCCTTTCTCTACCAGTGATCTGTATACTTCCGTCCACCCGTCCCCCATGGCAAGCTAATTCCTCGGGCGGGAGAGAAGCTCTCCAAACCTATCATCAGCATCTCCTAGCTGGCCTGAGGGGAGCCACTCAAAGGCTACCAACTTGAGCAAGGTAAGCAAGGTCCTTCAAGGACCTGAGGAATCCCCTTCTACCTTTCTGGAGCGTCTGTTGAAAACATATCGTACGTATACTCCAATTGACCCAGATGCCCCTGCAAATCGGCAGGCAATTAATTTGGCTTTTGTTACTCAGTCGGCCCCAGATATTAGAAAAAAAAGACTGCAGCGGATGGAAGGATTTGAGAGAGAAAATAGGAAAAAGTTGATGAGTGTGGCAATGAAGGTGTTTAACAATAGGGATCCTTTTGAGGATAGAATGGCTAAAAAGATAGGAAGGGCGAACATTGCAGCCTTGACAAATAGAGGTTTTATCCGAAAGAAATACAGAGGAAATTTT